TTTGATGAAGCCTTTTCGAGGCACTTTGGACGGGCATTCCAGTACATGCGTTATGGATTTTTCTCCATGTTTGAAGTGCTGAATGCAGCCTCAGAGATTATTGCTGTTGAACAGACCAGGGCAGGCTCTTTGCTGACATTGAAGAAGAGCCCCTCAGTTAAACAACAGGAAAAAGTGTTAGAAGGTGAGGCTGAACACATTTAATTTGGAGCAAGCAGTTCCAACTAATACCTGCTTACTGCTTAAAGTAAACTTACTGTATTTTTGAGGGAAAGAGGCCACTGGCCTATCAACGCATCTTTACACATGTTCGGGGGGGGGGGTGCCTTAATTAGAGTGGCTCTGAGAGCTGCTCTGATTAAAGCACCCTTAGCATCTTGTGTATTCAGCATCCTGTGCTTTAAAATGGCAGTGGGGGTACTTCAACTAAACCTCATTTGATGAGCTGTAGTTAAAATGCCAGTGCTGCCATTTTGAAGCATAAGGATGCTGCATACACAAGGCACGGAGGTTGCTGGAGTGCGCTAATTATCACAGTCCAGCAGACTTGATTAATCAAGTCTGCTTGGAGCAGACCATGGCTGGCTGGAGCATGTTAATTAGTGGCAGCACAGTCGACTCAATCAGTCTGCTCTGACATGCTGTAATTACAGCGCATCAGGGCAGCATCTCTACATGTCTAGAGGCACCCTTTGAGCACCAGTTCTTATAGGAGTCAGCATAAAAATCTTATGGCGCTGCTGTTGAAGCTTGATGACACAGCTGCTATTACAAAAGGTTTCTGACTCTGACTTCCCGTTTCTGAGATGGAAAGCAAACGGCAGCACAGTATGTCTAGCCAGTCTGAAAGATGGGTTCTGTACATACAATTGATTGTTATGATAAAAGGTGCCTCTTTGTAGTGGATCTAGATCAATGGTGCTCAAGATTTTTCCCCCTGGGGCTGGATGGATGGTGCTCAGACCCTCTGGGGGCAGGAGCTGGTGGGCTGGAGCAGTGAGGGGGAGGAGGGCCATGGCCGAGCCCTGATCTGGCCATGCCGAAGTGGGGGCAGAAGGGTGGGGAAGGGGCCATGGCCTGGCCCTGATCTGGCTGTGTGGCAGTGCAGGGGGAAAGCCATGGCCTAGCTCTGATACAGCCATGCAGGGGCGGGGAGGGGTCATGGCCTGGCCTTGATCTGGCTGTACGGGGGAAGGGGTCACATTTGGTCCCATGGGTGGGGCTGGAGGGGTTGTGGGGAGGAGACAAGGGGCATGGCCTGGCCTGGCTCCACACCTGCCATGCAGGAGTGGGGAAGGGGGCATGATCCAACCCTAAGGCTGCTGTACACAGGGCAGTAAGGGGGCAAAAAATGGCCCTAAGCTTGCTGCATTGGTGGGGGTAGGGAAAGAAAGGGGGTGTGGCTCAGCCCCAATCTGGCTGCACAGGATTTAGGAATTTGGTAGCAGGGGAGGAGGGCGGCAGTATGGATTGCCACCAAATTTCCCAAATGGCGGGGAGCCCCTTCGGCCGAATGCCATGGCTCCGCAAGCCACATTGGGCCTGCAGGCCAGAGCTTTACAGTCCCCCTCTCCCGATCTAGGTAATGTTGGTGTTAGACCAACTGGGGAGACCAAAAGATAAGACTTGCATATTCTAGGAGCTTGTTTTATACATTCTACGTGTAAATCTCATCTCTCTCTTGCACTACCTTAAGATGACAGGGTGAGTCAGCCAAAGAGAGCAAAGAAGCCCAAGTCTTCTTCTGTGCCCGCCCCTGCATTTGGGAAACCCTCTCCAGAATTGGGGACAAAGAAGCTCCTTCAAGCTCCAAAACCCAGTTCAGAGCCAGTAGATGCACAAGTACTGAACTATGACAACAGAATGAAACAAGTGAGTGACTGAAGAAATAATCTATGAGGTTTTCTTATTATTTGGGAGATTAATTTAGTGATGTCATTGTCTCTGAGGTCAGTATTCACAACATCATTCTAGACTTTAAAAATTGGTTTCAAGATTTAGTCCAGAAATGAACAACCTGTTGTTAGTTAGCATCATAATCCAGAAGGCTGTCAGTATCTTGATCAGTTTTTTCTGTCTCTGTACCCATGCTAACTGTCATCTATCAGCCAATTTCAGTAATGAATATTGGCTTGCCACCTGATTTTTCTTATGATGCTTTTCATTCAAAGATCTCAGTACTAATGTTAATCAAGCCTCAACTCGCCTGTGAGCACAGGGAATTTGAATTTTTGCCAGTTTATGTAGAAATCAAGGCAGTCAGTGGTAAACCTTGATTCCTACTCTTGCTCAGCATACTAGATGAGAGACCTATGGGGACATAAAGGAATGCAGGGTTTTTCAGTTGATGCCATAATTGGAAGATAATGTACTCCTCTGCTGTTTTCTGCCCTGATAGGCTTTGTGCTGAGATAGAATAAAACTTGATAATTTACTAGTATCAGGAAAGGGCTTGCTGTCTTGAAGTGTTCACTGTGTGTTCTGCATTGTACAGAGAAAGGTATTGTTTTGACCCATCATGCTTATATGGCTCATTGAGAACAGACATTATAGTGTTGGCACATGGTAAAAACACATGGCAGCAGTACAAGTGGGAAGTGGTGCAGATTTACGTTGATTTTTCAAATACTTAATGAGAAGTGTGTTAAGGAGGATTTTAAAATGAATACTGTTATACTGTTTTACATGTAAATAGAGGGAGTGTCATTTAACAAATGAGGGGAAGAGATCCAAGGATAGAGAGTAGCTTGGAGGGAGGTGGAAAGATGTGAATGGTAATGGATACAAGGGGTTTACCAAGGAAGTTTTAGGTTGAGAGAAGGGCTAAGTCCAGAACTGTGATAAGCTGATTTAGTTCCTGCTAAGAGTTCCATGTGATATCAGCAAGCAGAGAAGAAAGTTCTCTATCAGGAGTTGTTCAGTAATCCTTACTTTAAGACTTCCAGAAAGCTAACGTCTGAATGAATGGGCTGCTTTAGAAAGGGACAACACACAATTGGCAGCATAATGGCAGGCAAGTATGAGATGCCTGCACCTCAAAGCAGGTCTTTATTAATGAGTGAACAGCTGGAATCACTGGAAATTAGGAAAGCAAGAGCTAGGTGCCCTAAATCCCCATCTAAGCTGTTTAACTGCCCCCTGTACATTTGGTGCATTTAAAAAAAATACTTTCCTAAATGCTGGTGTACTGTTTTCTTTCACTGCTTTCCTAATCTTATGTAATTTCTACTGACACGCATCACAAACAAAATTATTAATCCTTAAGTGCAAGAGCCCACTGCCACACCTGATTAGCTACTTCATGAGAATTTTTTTGACTGCTAGAATTCACCATTTTGTTTCTGATATGACTTCTTATTTTTTCTTTCATTTGAAGTTGGAGCAGGATTTCAAGATGACACTCGCACAGAAGGGACCTGGTGGGACAGTCAGCTCGGAACTAAAAAGAAGACTCCAAACTGTAAGTATTAGTATCTGGAAATTTGGGCATTTGGAGAAAAACAAGTATTTATTCCCTGTACATTATCAGGAACAGCAGTGCAGCTTCTAAGTAGATATCCTGTTGTTTCAGATGTGGGGTCTGTCTTAGCCACAGATTTACTATGCTTAGTCAGTAGTAAGTGACCTGCTTGTCCTGTTCCCATTAGACAGGGATGTGGTGTTTCCTTTATATTTTTGCCTTTATCTGGATTAGAAAATCCAGGAGAGACTAGAGTTTTAGTCTTTACATGTGAAAGGAGAATTATTTAAATTGGGGGCGGGCAATTATTTTGGGCAGAGGGCCGCTTACTGAGTTTTTGCAAGCCATCGAGGGCTGCATGACGGGCAGCCCAGGGCAGATGAATATTAATTTTAAAAAATTTTTAGGGGCCCCACGGGCTGGACAGAATGGCCTGATGGGCCGCATCTGGCCGCCGGGCTGCATTTTGCCCACCTGATTTAAATGTACATGTGTTGAGGTATACAGATTCAGAAATTTAAGTCACGCTTCATCTGAGGTTTGGAATGAACGCCAAAACACTGCTGGTCTAAAATTGCATGCTGTTGGGGAAGCGGTAAAAAATAAGCATGAAAAGCCAGACTATTCTGTTTTGTAGAAATTCATTCACAACTGCACTATTTATGCGTCTTCTCTGAGCTATGACCCTCTTATCATTCCCCCCACACAACTGTTTGCTTATGTGTCCTTTTGTGTTGTTTAGGTTGTAGCCCAGTATCCAGAGGGTTTGTTTGTATCAAGGCTACCTGGTGAGTTTGAGGTAAGTTTTACCTCTACCAGCTAGGGCTTCTTTAAAAAGAACTTTAACATTTTTAACAGTGCATACTTTGTTTGGACTATACTTTCTATTAACTTAGATGCAGCTGTGAATGCTCTGCACTTCTACAAATCTGACCACAGTCAGGCACCAGAAAATGAGGAGCACAGTCAGTGACCACTGCTGAAAGATGTTGGTTAAATAAATGGCTTGTGCAGCATCACACTAGAACTCTGTGATAGAGAAGCACAGAACTCAGTTCTCCAGGATCATATCCATGCATCTTAAACAAAAAAACATTTTTTCTCTTCCCATAGTTCCCTGAATTGGACAACTAGCATGGAAAACTTAAGCTTGATTGGTTAAAGTTTGGCAAAGTTAATACCAATTGAAAACAAAATCTTATGGGAAATGTTAGGCACTTGTAATGGACGGTTCTGAGAGAGTACATCCCAGACTTATTAACTACTAAGTGGCCAAGAGGCTGCACCCTGAGTGGGCCATATCAGCAGGAGCTACCTGACACATGGACCACAGTAGTATGAACCAAGGGCCTCTCAGGTTTTAGATTATCAAGGTTTACCAAGAAAACGTAGGCTGAGGGCCCCTGGCTGACATTATTGTGCTACTTTGTGGATTCTCCTCCATAACCTCCCATCTTGCCTTCACCATGCATGTGGGTGTCCCTCTTCCAACTGCTACGGTGGGTGTATGCATGGTTACCCCCCACCCTACTGCTGCACCACCTATACATAGATTTCCTCTCCACATCCCACAACTCAGCTCGTTGGCTGTAGGGCACTCCTAGTACTGGGAGCTATGCTGCATTGCACCCTGCTTCCCTGGGGCAGGCATAGGAAGCAGAAGATATTGGAGAACCCCTGAGACCCTGGCTCCTGCTGCAGCTGGAGTGATAGGGAGAGCAGTGGGCACCTGGGGACTGAAGTTTAACCCATCGTGGGCCACATGCTGTTGGAAAGCCCTGGTGTTAACTCTTTTCTCTAGTTCTTTTAGTTTACAATTACAATTCTTCATCAAATGTGCATTGTAAAAAAAAAAAGGTTCCTTTCTGGCAACAGGCACATTTTAAAGAGAAGCTATCGGTGAAGGAGCTTGGTTTCTTCAACGTGATGGAACTTGTTGGGGCCCTTCATGATATTTTCCATGTTGAATGCAAAGAAGGTGAACGAGACTGGATGGTCTTTGACCTCAAATCAAAGTGCTTAAAAGATAGTAAGTGTGGGTTTTGTGCATCCCTGGTTCATTGTAAAGTGGGAGTGACTGAAGAATGGCTGATGAGGCAAATGTTACTCAGCCAAGTCTATAATGGGATCTATGCCTCTGTGTTAAAGAGGAGAAATGCCTACAAGTCCCAGCATATAATTCTCTATCCCGATCTAAGCAAAATAATGCATGGAGGGTGGTGAAGCACTCTGTGCTGGGATCTTTTTTCCTTTGTTTCTTACCTCTTATAATTTTATTTGTCAAGCTAGAGTGAAATAATTTGTGTTGACCTGAGATCAAGATCTCATTTAAATGAATTGACATAGTACACTCCTGTCTTCTGTCTTTTATATCTGCTTGTCAGGATGACAGTATATCATTGGTTTACCATTGATTCGTTCCTAAAAAATACTTTCACAAAAATAAACGTAGATTTTTTTTTCTTAAAAAAAAAAAAAAGGGGGAGGGGGGGGGGGCCAAAAAAAAAAAGACA